GCGGCCTCCCCCATGGTTCCTTTGACCTTAGATCTTACTCCGCCCGCTGCACCCAGCCCCGAGGGAAGGGACCTGAAATCTCTTCAATCTTCCTTTAACACTGGATTTGTTCTCATTTCACCCCCAACCCCCAAAGGAGGGTTACTGTGCCCCCACTTCCTCTAACCTTCTTCTAGACCCCAGATCCCTGAAGGGGGTTCCCGGGTCTCCCCTATTTTTTTCCTCTCCTCCACCTGCACTTCCCTCTGGCTCCTGAAAGCCTTTCCATTGCGACCCCTCTCTTTCCAATTCCAAATCTTTTCTCATTTTTCTCTCCCCCCATGGAGCTGCCACTGTGGCTGAGGCCCTGCACAGTCCACCTTCTCCTCCCCTGGCACCTCAGCGGGCTTGGTAAGGGCCACTGCCCGCCCCCCAACGCGTCTAAGTAGCTTCTGGGCCCCCTTCCTCCCGCCGCCACTTTCCCGTAGGAATGCCTTGTATTTCTATTCCCTTCCAGACCGATTAAAGCTCCCAAGTTCCCCGCTGCCTACTCTCTCTGTTCTTAGCTGCACCAGAACCTTCTTGGGGAGGGGAAGGTTGTGAGATGCCCAGCTCAGGCATGAGCAGAAAGGCCTGCTAAGGAAGAGATCGAGAGAATGAGGGCAGGCAGGTTTGGAGGCCAACGGAGGGAAGCGCAGAGCCTCTAGTGCGAGGGTTCAGACTAAGAGGGGAGGCCCTGCTGCAACCCCCTCTCCCATCTGGTAGTCGACCCCTGGCCAGCCTCACCCAGCCTTCCACCTGCCCATTCACCCCACCCCATCCCAACTTCCCTCCCAACGCGTACAGGCATCGTATCTTCCCCTGTCTCACTCATCCTTCCACCTGTTCCTCACCTCATTCATCCCAGCCTCCAGCCCGCCTTGTCTCATCTTCGCGCCACCTCAGTCTTTCCTCACTCCATTTCATCGCCTTCCCCACTTCCCCTCTCCTCGCCATCCTACCCTAATTCCGACTTTCTCTCCCACCTTTACTCACAAACAGCCTGCCCCTCTATGTCCAGTGCTATCTTTTCAATGGACCTGCCTCCTCATTTTCAGGAGGGAACCTCCCTTTCTGCGCCTCCCACTCCCCTCCGGGATTTGCGGCTGCAACCGCCTTCTCGCGGGTGGCGCGCGCCCTCTGCTGGTCGGATCAGGGAAAGGCAGAATCAGGTTTTGTCGCTAAGCTGGGGACCAAGGGCCAGAGGATCCGACACTTCCTGGCTAACTTTGGCCTTCAGAGAGGAGGGTGAAAGGGAGAAATCTCAGCCCTGCATTCCAGGTCCGGCCTCAAGAAGTCCGGGAAGTGGGTCAAGAGGGTCATTTCCTGGCCTGGTCATTTTCCTGACTACCTGAGGCCCTTCTGGATACCGTGCCCACTCTCCACGGCTCTTATGATCTCTTTACCTTTTACAAAACCTATTGGCAAGAACACTGATTTAAGCACGTTTCCTTAGGTAGAAACAACATTGGGGAAAACACCTGAAGTGACAGAACTTTGAGTTGCACACCGAGGCAAGACCCTTGCTCCACCTTCCCCATGTTCCTAGTGTTTCTTTCCCAGGGGCCACATCTCTTCCTGGACTAAAGATTCCTTGCTGGTTGGTGGGCTCCCACAAAGCGATTGAGATTTCCCTGTGCCTTGTGGACAGGAAGGGAAATGCAAGTGGAAGTCAGGACAACAAAGTACAGTGAGGACCTGAATGCCCCTTCCCAAAGGGAAGGAAGTCATCGACGTCCATCTAAGAAGAGTCTTTATTTCTTTCATTTCACCTTCAATTTTTTTCTGGTTTTCCAAATAACATACTCAGCATAGAAAATTTTGAAAATACACAATAGGGCCTCTACTAAATATTAGTTGGATGAAGCATGTAATGAAACATGAGGGAAAAAAACACTTATAGTCTCATTACCCAGAGGCCATTATTTACAACTCTTTGTCATAATCCCCTTCTTTTCCTTTAAGCTCCTTAGAATTGAACGATATCCTGTTTTAGTCCTTTAACATTTATGGTGTTACACCCTCTAGACCTCATGGGGTGGGGGGTGGGATCATGTATTCCAGGGAGCAGATAGATGGCCAGAGGAGGAGGCCAGCCTGGTGAGGACCTCAGTGACTTGGAAGGAGAGGCAAAGGGCTTTTTTTGCAGGGGACAGAAACTGGGAGAGAAAAAGAATGCACTGGGGAGATAGAACCAGGTTCCAGAAAGATCTGGGCTGCTAAAATTATGGGTTGACTGTAAAAAGGTGCAATTTCCTGGCAAGGAGTGTGAGGCCCTGTCCTTAGATCTTTAAAAGCCAAAGTATGAGACAAAGCAGGGCAAGGGTAGGGCTTAGTAGAGCCTGTGTGTAAATTAGTGGTGTCCTAGTCAACACAATGTTACATGGGAGCACTGGAGTATAGGAGTGAACGCGGAAAAACCACTGTGATCTGAGGATGCACTGATGCATCTATGGCACTTAGGATGAAGGAAATGGTCTACTTGCTGTAATGATTGCACTCTCAGCATATTGTACGTGGTGTTAGACAACACTTTCAAGAATACTTTCAATGGAGAACAGAGTAGTGGACCCAGGAAGTGAAGAGAAAGAATGCTAGAAAACCATTCATGGGAGATGTAGTCTGGAAATCATAGTGGGGAAAGAGACACAGGAACTGTCCTCAATTATTCAAAGAGCGGCCCTGTGGCAGAGTACCTGGATCCATGTGACTAAGACCAGTACTGGGATATGTGGTAGAAAGCTACAGTGAGACAAATATGTCAGTTTAATCTAATGAAGAACCTTCTGCCACGGATCACGCCAGATGAGGAGTGCTCTGTTGCTGGAGTATTCAGCAGAGGCTTCCTTGGGAGTTTGAGAATGGAGGTGGACTAGGTGACTTCAGTCTTGGGACTCTTGAAGTCCTGTGAGTGAGTTGGTAAAGGAGGGATTTCAGGTATCATTGGGAAGCTGGGAGAGGTGTTGTTAGATGGGGGGGTCTTTTTGTCTGTGATATCACATCCCTAAAGCTCACCCTGCACACAGAGCCAGTTTGGGAAGCTAAAATATAGCACTAGGCATTAGAAAACCTAAGTTCTGGTTCCAGCTTGGCAATTGACTTGCTATTTGACCTTCAGATAATTCTTCCGGGATTCCAGTTTACTGTGATCTTGGGATGACTGGACTACACCGAAGCCCTGATGAATCCACAATGTTAATACACTCAGCTTCCTGATGGTCCAGGCCTGTCCTCATTGACCCTTTACCCCTTGGTCCTTGGCCTTCCAAGGTTTTGATTCTACCATTGCTTCTCTCTCCCAGTCCAGTGTCCAGCCCCTCTTGCATTCCCTGAAGGTCTGAGCCTTTTCTCTATCATCTCTTCATTCACGTCACTGGTGGCTCACTCATGTCACATATGGCTCACTCCCCCACTCCCTGCTGTTTGCTTACACTACAGAGTTTACAGAACACTTTCACATTCATTGTTCTATTAATCCATTCAAGATCAGGGAGGAAGACAGGGCAGGGATTGCTTTTTCCACTTGGAGGATAAGTAAATCAAAGCCCAGGATGTTAAGAGACTTGTTCTAGGACCTGTATATTCTGGTTCCTCCCCAGACCTTTTCCAGTGCTCTTAGGGGTTTCTCCATAGTCCTAAGTGGCCTTAGTTACTGTGTTTGTAGAGTCGCTGCCCCTGCCCTCCTGGGATTACACAGACCCAACCCTTGTCTTCTCCAGTACCATGTGCTCCACGTGACGAAGCTCCAATTGCCTCCACTTGCAGATGGAATCAGAGGTCCAACTAGCATGCTGTGTGAGGACATCCATGTCCACACTGCCTGAGACCTACAGTCACAGAACAATGATGCCACCTAGGACACCAAGGCTAACTTCTTATACATTAGCTCATGTGATCAGAAGACAAACATCAAAATGGGTTGCTGTGATGTGCTTTTCTCAGAGCCTTCTGCTTTTCTCATCTTCATTTTCCCATCCAGATGTCTTTAAAATGCACTTAACTGCAGCTTGTTCCTCAAACTTTTTAATAATTCATATCAAGTAGACCTGCTGATAATAAAAATGTGCCCTACCATTCACTGGACCAGACTCTGTGCCAGACTCTGCCCTAGGCTAATGCTTTACCTGTGACCTCTCCTTTGACCTGGCCACAACCTTGCCAAGTGGGGATGGTTACCTTCACTCTCAGATGAGGAAACTGAGGCTTGGAGAAATTAAGTGATTGGCTCAGCCTGTGACCCCAGAGCTCAAGTCCTCACCATCACACCATATCCCCTCCCCTGGGCCTTCCTGGGAAGTTTCTTCCTTGTGTGGATGTGACCTGCTGGCTGCCCATTGCAGGTATACTCCATCTAATTGTCTAATCATAGCAGAAGATGATTGATTATAATGAAAAAACTGATGAATTGTCTTATGAGTGTTTTCAATTAGGACCCCTGTCTAAATAACAAATCAGACAGTTTTGTTGCCCCATTGTCTTTTGCAAGTCTTCATTTTCCTATGTTCCTATAACCTTTGAGTGGATCACTGTACACTGGGGTGAGGCTGAGGGTCTGACTGCAACTTGACTTTGGTGGCAATTCCTATACCAGTTTGGTCAGCAGGATATCCCCCAGACCCTCCTCTGTCCTGGGATAGTGGGTCTAATGTCCAGAGGCAAGTGGCCCAATGTCCATTGACTGTGACATTTTCTATTTCTGAGAATTCTCTTCCACTGGATTTTGTCTTTCAATTCTTTGTAAACAAAAGGTGACGTAGCATAATGGTTAAGTGCAAGGGCTGAATTTCCTAAGTTTGAGTGTTGAGTCTGTCACTTACTAGCTGTGTGACCTCAAGCAAGCTACTTTACTTCTTTGTGCCTCAATTATTTCATCTGTAAGTAATAATAATAACAGAACCTACCTTATAGGGTTGAAAGAATAAGTGATTATGTAAGTATCTTTGTGCATATATCAGCGTTTTCTATTACTAAGCAAACAAATAAAAACAACCCCAAACAAAGCAAGCACCCACCTCTTCCCCACCTTGCCCCCATCAGATGCCCTCCACTTGCCTTGGGAAGGAACTTGAGTGGCCACACTTCTTTTCCAGGGCAGTTACCCATCTGGCGAGCTTAACCAAGAACCAGCCTCTTGATGGGTTATGTGGCCACAACCACCATCACATGGGTCAGTCTTCTACATTGAGTGTGTCCTCCATTTCTTTATGGGGTAACTGGAGAATGCACTGTATTTAAGATTAGAGGAATTCAGCTAGTTACCAGCTGTGTGACTTCGGCAGTATGTCCATACCATTCAGAGACTTAGTTTTCTCCTTTGAAATGTGAATAATAGTAATGCTTACTTCTTTTAGTTAGTGTGTGGATTCAATAAAAATAATATGAGCAATATCACTTAACATACTTCTCACACTTAATAACACATTTAATAATTTCCTAATATTTCTCTCAATGTGGCAGACACAGCTAGCTCCACACCCCGCTCCAGGTTGTATGCGCCTCACTTTACGTAACAGAGCTGTCACTGGGAAGTGATTGCCCAGCCAGGGACTGGTTTTCCAGCTGTCCTTGCATCTTGGTGAGAGCTACGTGCCTTGTTTTTGCCAATAGAATATGAATGGAAATGATAGTATGTGTTGCTCCCAAACCAAGGCATTTAGAAGTGGTTGTGCCTCCTCCATACTGTCTCTGTCTCTGTCTCTCTGTCTCTGTCTCTCTCTCTCTATATATACATATATACATATACACATATTTAATGAAGGTACTGAGGATTGAACCCAGGACCTCCTGCATGCTACACATGTGCTCTACCACTAAGCTATACCCACCTCCTCCCCAACCATACTCTCTTATTTCCTTCCTGCCATCTGGATTTAGAGGATAACTAGTTCCTAAGAGATGGCAGAGCTTCGTTATGAAAAGGATCCTGGTCCCTAAAATGTGGAGAGAAGTCACTCATCAACATGGACTATTACATTTAATGTGGAGATTTTCTTGTTACAGCAAATAACATTACCATAATTAATACTCAAATTACATTTAATCCTTCAGCAGGCCTCTGAAATAGACATTATGATTTCCCCCATTTTATGCTGAGAAAACTGAGGCACAGAGGGAGTCACATGGTGAGAAAGGGCAGAGCAGAATTTGAACCCAGTCTGATTTCAGAGGCAGTGACATCTCTTAACTACTAAGGATGTGAAAGAGCTTTATATGCTAAAAGTAATAATAATAAGGACTAATATTTATTGAACA